GGTGGCGTTTTGTCTGGAGAGCTAAACTAGGCCACAGCAGAAAGAAGTTGCTTTGAAAAACTGGGACTTGGCCCGGCGACACAGAAACAGTGTTTAGTGCTGGAGGCTGAGAATACACTTTTGCGGTAGCCTGGAGGTGGCCAGCCGTTTGCTGACGGAGGTGAAGTGCGAGGTTTTGTGAGCCCTTGCTGCTTTCTGAGGTGATTTTATCCCTCCAGCCTTCCTTGGTTTGGAGTGTGTATTTTTGGGGGGAGGGCAGTAACAAGGAAAAAGGAGAGAAAAAAGTTTTGGGGTTTCTTTGCTAAATGTCTTGGTCTCACACGTTGCTCTGTTGGTTGGAGAGGGATTTGTCAGTGTGATCAAAGCAGTTTTGCTGATGTTTCGTGCCTTTGAGAGGTGAATTGCAAAGTTTAGCCTGTAATTAATGTGGGTTTGTTCGTCCTGGGAACAGTCAGCAGATGATGCTGTAATTTGGGTTTGCCTGAAAAGCAGCGCGCGGTGTTTTGACTTCGGTCAAGCCAGTGGGAGTCTGCAGCTGCTGTTTTTGTGCTGGCTGTCGCATAAACGGAGTTACTGCTGGTAAACTCTGCTCGAAAAACTTTGGGGTTGGGTGGTTTTGCTGGTTTTAAGGGTCGTGGTCCTATAGCCTGAGGGAGGATGCTTCTGGTGCAGTGGGAATCCCTCGCCCGGGAGAGATTGCGGGATGGTGCTTTTGCTGCTGCTGGAAAGACACAGCTGAGGAGGGGGATGCTGGATTGGAGCTGGATTGGGGCTGCCTGAGCTGGGAAGAGCTGTGCCTTGCTTAATTGTGCTCAGTTCTCCTCCAGTAAATGAGAATGTTACAGCTCTGACTTTTCCAATGGCTCTGACATTGGGTGTAAAGCTCCTGACTCGGATGAAATGTTCCGAGCGGGTATGAAGAACGCTTTGATACGCTGCAAACTTGCTGTGGAGGTTACAAAGGCATATAGAAGCTGCAGTGTGCTGTGATTTTTTTTTTTTATTTGTTTGTTTTGTTTTGGTTTGGTTTTTTTGTTTTCTTCATTGCACAGTGCCCTACTAAGGAGTCACATTCTCAGTCCATGCTAATCTGACTTTTTGCCGTTGTTGTATGGTGTGTACAGATTAAATATCCCTACTGCTGTGCCAGCCTGCTCTAGAGAGTAGAGTCCAGTGTTAGCTAGCACGCTTAACTTCTAGCTTAACTTTAGAGATACTGCACTTTTTAGGGGCTGTTACAGTCCCATATGAACATTTTTGGGCCTTAACTTGAAATACAGGGGTTCCTCAGTGCAACTGAAGTACGTGAGGGGTTGTTGAATGCATGCTGCAGAAATAAACTGTTTTCTGTAGTTTCCCACAGTTACAGGCAAAACCTTGGGAGAGTGGTGGCATGCTCTGAGACAGAAAACCTCTCTTGAAACAGCAGGCTTGACTGGCATTATCAGAGACACATGGGTGTGTTATACAAAATAATTCAATAATTTAATGATCCATAATACTGCACTAACTTCTACCACAGATGCTGTTGGACTCAACACGAGTTAGATTTGTTACTTCAAGGCTTTTTTTTTTCTCTTCCTCTGGGATTCATGCCAAGATGAACTGTATGTTCTGTTCTTAAGAGCTATGAGTAATGTATGTGTGAATCTATAACATAAGTAATATGAGTATATAAAATGTGTGAGTATTCAGGATTCGTGTATCCTGCATCGACAGAGTGCCGCACACATGCTATATGTGTGTTCAGAAATAGGGTGCGATACATGTCTGGGCAAAATTAATGACATGCCTTGAAGTTACTGCTCACTGCAGAGTCTGATGGCCTGAGCCCAGAGAGCTGAACCGAAATCCCAGTTGCCAGCCACGGTTTGCCTATTTAATTGCCCTTTTGGAGCAGTTACAAATTAGAGTTGGAAGTCACTCCCTGTGCTTACAGGGGAAGTCAGCATTAATGAACAGAAGAGGTGATGCTTGCACTGTATCCTAATGTTTCCTGAGTAGTTGGTGGAGCAGTGGGGTGTGCAGGGGTGCTGGAGGGCAGTGCCTGGGAGGAGGAGATACAGGGGTGCTGGGGTTCCCGCTCTGTGCCACCCCAGGTGGGTGCTGCTCCAGGAGCTGCTGTACAAGTGATGCACTCCAGGGCAGGCCTGCTGCTTCTAATGGCATTTTTTTTCTTTTTAGATGAATAAAATGGGCTTTCTCTCATAAATTATTTTTTTATGTGAAAAATGAGAAGGTGGCAAGTAGCCAATTCCCCCACCTCCCTCTTCCCAGCTCCGATGAGGTCATTGCCTCTTAAAGTTTATACCACGCACTGCGAGACATGGCTGGAAGAGCAAGAAGGCAACAAATGTCTCTCTTGGGGTGGTTGGGAGTGATGACCACCAGTCCCTGAAATATCACTGAGCTGCAAGTGATGCCTGAGCAGCACTTGTGAGTGGGGAGAGGGCCTGGTACAGCTGTCTAGGAAAAGGTTGCAGGATGCAGATCTGGGTGGGAGTGGAGAGCCCTGGTCCGTGCGATGCTCCAGGTGCAAGGCAGGACCTGGGATGCTTGGATGCAGGTCCAGGGGGTGGTCGTGCTGCTTGGTGGGCAGCGAGGGGGAAGGAGCCTGTGTGTGAAGGGCTGGGCATGTGCTCAGGCGAAATGTGATCGACAGCAGTTCTGGCACTCCTCAGCTGAGCTCGCTCTTGCATCCACTTACTTTTCCTTGGGAGTTTCCTCAGGGCTGTTTTTGCAATGGCGTTGTGAAAGTTCATGACCCAGTGAAGGAACTCTCCAAGACCTTTGTGTCCCTGGCTGTGTGACTACCTGGAGAAGTTGTGTTTTTTTTTTTTCCCTTGAATGCTATGACAAGCTGCTTGTGGATTCCCGAGCTATTATTTTCTCCTTCCCTGTGCCACCACCATCCCAATTTCTCTTTCCTCTGTGGTGGAAACAGGAGTGCCTGGACCATGAGGTGGTCCTTAGGGCTTCCCTAGAAGCTGCAGCCCAGGAGTGTGGATTTTGAGGGCTGTGCAGATATCCTGTTCTCTTTACAGCCTCTGCTGGGGTGCTTGGGGATGGTGCCCTGGACTGTCTGTGATTTTAAGGTGGGACGCTGGCCTGAAACAGCTAATTCGTAGGTGCCATAATAAATTAATTATTTGAATTCTATCAGAGCTTATTACTGCCTCGTGCCTTTGCCATGGCTCTGATTTTGATTAGAGTTTGCTGTACCTTCTGGGATGGTCTTTAGCTCTTGTTGTCCCACTGGGGAGGTGCAATTGGGTTGGACCAAATTGTCAGTGAATTTGTGCTGTAGTCCAGAAATCAAATCTCTGCTGCATCAGTGAAAGAGGAGTTGTGTGGTGGCAGAAGGTGTGCAGACAGTGGAGAGAGAAAGCAAGAGAAGTACAGTTACTTTTTTTTTTTTTTTTTTTTTAAAAAAAAAAACTACTCTGAAAAGCCCTTGGCAGCAAGCATGTCACTGGGTAGAAGCATGGGTTTGGTTTTACAGGTTCATTCCCCCAGTGTACTTGTGCTATAGTGTGCTGTATGCAGCCATCCCTCACCTGTCAGCAGTGGATTTCAGGGGTGGGCAGCTGCTTCCACCATGGCTTATACAAAGTGAATCTAGGAGAAAACGGTGGGAAGAGGATGGGAGGAGGCAGTTGAGATGTTGTCTGCGACCTTGGAGGTGTCTGAGTAGAGACTAAACACCAAGACTGACTGATCAGCCAGCATCTGCAGTGCTTTGCAAGGACAGTAAAGATCTGGGAGAAAGGTCTGGGAGATGCTTCCACTTGCTGATGTGGGGAACTAACATCCTTTTTTTAAAATGAAAGCTAGCAGGTAGCTGTTCTATATATAAAATGAGTACCTGAGGGCCCTAGGTACAGCAGTGTCAGCAGCCTAAAGCTTCCCCGTGCTGTCTTTGCAGGCAGCTTGTGCAGGCAGCTACAGCTCTGATCTTCCCCGGCACCAAATGTGGAAACGAAAAAGCGCAGTTGGAAGTTAGCAAGGTAGGGAACTTGGGGAGGGGTCCACCATGCTGCTGTGCTTTTAGGCACAAACGTAAAAAGATAAAACTTTAAAATTGCTGTTCCATCACAGCTTGTCCGTTCTGTGGATATCATTTACGCGTCCCATTAATTGTAGTTGCTCTTGTGCTGCTGCTCCCCGGTATCTTCTGTTCACTTCTTCTTTGTCTTTATGCTTCTCCTTAGCAGCCTCGTTGATGTGGTGTGGTTGTTTTTTTTTTTTTTTTTTTTTTTTTCCTGTCGACACGATACGATCACTCCTTGTTAGCCTATCTTGCTCCTTCCTCTTTCAAGGAAGAGAAGGAGCAGGGGAACCAGATCTGATAATTCCAGTGAGTAGAACTGTTCCCCTGAGCCCTTTATAAGAAATAAAAAGGCTCTCCTTCTCTCTGCTTCTCTTTGAGTACAAGCACTTTACCCTCTTGGATTCCCTGCAGGCTCCTCATACTGCTAAAATTGAAACATCAAGATGTCTGAGGCAGCAGGAATTACCATCAGTGTTTTGACACCTGGAGGTACAATTTCTATTAGCTTTTATATAAAAACAACACCAGTTTTGCCAACAGAGTTCTTGTTAAATAATGCATGAAGACCCTGCTCCTGACAGTAGGTATTTTTCTTTCACTTTCCTGGACTCTTGGATAATGGCTTAATTTTTGAGACCACTAGGGAAAAAGATACGCACACTTGCACATGGAAATATGTATGTGGACACACACATGCTCAACTCCTGAGCAGAGAGTCAGTTAGTCCCTTTGCTAATTAACGTGGAGAGATGGGAGAAAGCAATTTAAAGTTGGTTTGTTGAGAAGCTTGGATTGTTTTATTTTTTTGGAAGCAGCAGAAGGCAGCTTTCCTGAGACCTTTGATGGTAAATAAGACTGCTTATGTGTGATAAAGAGCGATCCCAGGAGGGTCTGTGTGCCCTCGAACAGAGATCAACACGGGGTCATCAGAAACAAAAAATGGGTAACTCGTGGTTTTGCCTAGATGATGCTTGGCATCAAGCATATGCTCTGTGCTCGCTTTTGGGGGAAATGAAGTGAAACAGAAGGGCACAGCATGTGGATGTGACTGCTAACAGTGAGAATCAAAGTACAGTTTTGACATTTCTAACCTAATAAGTGGTGCTGCGTGTGAGAGCCTGCTTATTTTCCTTTTCACCATGAGATGCTTTGACAGAGGAGTAAAGTCCCATTTTGACATTTCTGTCATTTTAACTAGAGAGAGATTACAGTAAATTGGATTAAGTGAAAATCTTCTTCAGATGTTTGTGGTTTGGGCTGATTTATGGATAGATGTCATTTGAACGTCATTGTGCATTTTTTAAGCATCTGCTTAATGGTTGCTCTAATGCTGTTGCTGCAAATAGTCCACACAGAGGAGGGAAGGCTGAGCAAGAAGCAGCTACCCATGACAGATCTGATGCTGGTGTGTGGCATGGGGACAGCAAAACACTGTCCTTCTCACATTCCCAGCCGCATAGTGCCAGATTCTGTGATGGGTGCTTACTTCTCATTTAAGTTCCTGTTATTAAACTTTTTTATCTTCTGCTGAGAGTAATTTAAATAGGCTTTTCTGAGTATTCTTCCCATCCTGGAGAGAGCTGGTTCAGCGCACACGTTATCCTGCACTTGGGTTGTCTGTTCCCCTGCAACCAGCGGTGACGTTCCTCTTGGTTACACTCATGCAAAATCTCAGTCTTGGCTGCCTTGTTGCAGAGTCCTTCACTTGCCGTGAGTTGTGTGTGTGACTTTTCCAGGAACCAAAGTATTCTCATAAGCATGTGCTGACTCACTAACATTAGCAACAGCATGTGAAAAATACTCTGTCCATGTACTGATATTTCCAAAAGATAGTGTTGAAAGTTCTTCCATTAAATTATCAGTGTGAGACTTCTTAAATATAAGTCCTTAATGGTGGCTTCTACCTAAGCCATTTAGAAGCTGCTGGTGCCATTTGGAAAGCTGCATAATCTCTTGTGGGTGATGATGTAATCAGCACTGTAATCAAATCTGCCAGTGATGTCATTGATGGAGTAGTGCACTGTTGCAGTGATTAGTGGGATGAGATGGCATGAGATGGGAAACTGGAAAGTCTGCATCCCTAAATTGTGTTCTTTACATATGTAGTTTATAATTTCTGGCACGATTTTGGAAAATACTTCTGATCCACGCTCAAAATCACTCGATTTGTGTCTAAGTGTAGAGGCTTGTGCATTTTGGTTGTGGTCTCTAAAAGTTTATTTGCAAGTCTGATGTTGGTTTAAAGATTTTGTACCTATGCTGGGAGGTGTAGGGTGGTTGTCTGCCAGTTTAGCTCATGCAGCTGCCCCCGCTCTATGCCAAGTGAAGGCAGCGCTGGCCCGAGGGAGCGTGTGACTGGGCCTGGGAGCGAGAGTATAAAAATTGCCCTTAATCCTCTGAAGCGGCTGGATGTCTCGCACTGTGTCTGTTCATTTTTACAGTCCTGGGGCAGGAAGGTGCCGCTCTGATGTAAGTTACAGGTACAGAGAAGTACTGTTGGAAGCAGAGCACATCAAACCCTGGCTCCTCAGGGCAGGTCAGCTGGTGATGCTTCACACCTTCCCTCCAAACTGAGCCCCGCTGGTTTGATTTGCAGTGTCTCAGCACTGCCTGGGATTTCCTACGCTGCTGTTGACACCAGGGTTGTGGTGTTTGGTTTTCTGTGTCTGTGCTCCCTCGGTGGTTCACATCACCCTTGCAGTTAAGAGGAAAGATTTTGCCTTCTGATGTGTGAGCATTTCATGCCTTGCTTGTGACTCAAAGTGCAATTCTTGAAATATTTTCTATATTATTTTCTGTGATACCATTATTAGTGGAAGATCACGCTGCCGAGGGAAGACAAATTTGTAATCCTGCTTAGTGGCTGATCTTATCCTAGCTGAGTAGCTCTTGTTGCATAAGGGACTGACCTGAAATCATCTTTTGAAACCATCAGACAGGATGCCTTTCTCTTCTCCCCTTCGCACACATGGGTGTGATAGAGACTTTTTAAATGGTTTGAAGTTTAGCGGTTTTACTTTGAAATCTGAATACCTTCTGATAACTAACCTTCAGGTTGGTGGGCCAAAGAGAACAGTGGTGCCGCAGGAGGTGGGTTATTTTAATGCCTCTACGTGTTAAACAGACTTTGCAGCCTGACTTGCTTTTCGGGGTTGCTAAGAAGTATTTACAAAGGTTACCTGGCACAAATGACAGGGAGGAGCAAGTGGAAGAGCTTGATCATGACCCATCCCAAGGAGGTTTAGGAGAGAGGCCGGGGTGGGAGCTGGGAGGGATGGCTCTGGCACTGGGGAAGGGCTCTGCTCCATCCCTCGGCATCACGTTCCCACCACTGGATATACCAGCGGAGAGGGTAGGTGGGGGAGCAGGAGGGGAAGAGCTGCTGCTTGTGAGCAGTGAAGAATTAAAAACATCTGCTCCAGCTGTGTGCCTCTGTGCTTATTGTTTTTAACTTCTCTCAGTAAAGCAAATGAGGAACTGGCGGAGCATTTCTTGGCAGGGACATTGTCTTGGAGTGGAGATATTTCCCTTTCTGCTCAGTTGGCCCTTTCTTCTCTCATTCCTCCCAGACACGTAGCAGCCCCAGGTTGAGCTCAGGTGAGACATCTGGTCTGTTCTTGCTGGGAAGGATGGTGGGAGTGCATGGACAGCTTTTTTCTTTTTTTACTCCAGTCCCCTGAGAAATGCTGCATTAAATATCTTAGTGTTATGAGCTCTGTATGAAGATGTGAGGCTCATTCTGTCACCATGCCTGTCTGTTTTGAGTCCCCCCATTGGAGGAGGGAGCACATGCTGCTTGTGTGTGCAAGCAAAGAGCAAGGACAGGAATTGCTGCTCCCAAGTGTCAGCTCCTCTTTGGATCAGCAGACAAAACTCTTGGCTTCCCATCGTGGGTCAGACCTGGAGCACGCAGTTCCTGAAGTCCTGACCGCTCCAAGCTGGGGGTGACTGGCACTGGAAACAGCCTCAGGCTCTCAGGAGTTTCCTTCAAGCTGAGCAAGCGTCTGAGCAGAGAGATGCCCTCTCTCCTCTCCGAATGCCCACCTATGGTGGGATGTTCGCGGACCTTGGAAGTTGCTGCTAATGCTCCACTTGGCAGCCTGTGGAGCGGGTGAGTGAGGTTCACCAGCCACACTTGCAGCAGCTGGGAAGTGTTAGGCTGTGGGCAGCACTCTGGAAGAGATCCTTCCTTCATTTACTGAAGGTGATATCCTGGTGGCTGGCAGTGGAGAAGGAAGAAGAGGTGTTTTTTCTCTCTGGTGTGGATGAATCAGTGCTGTCTGTGATGGATTCTCACTGCGACAGGCTCTAAATGGGAATTCTCAGGGGAAATTAGCCTGCAGCTTTTGACTTTATTAAATATTCTCCAGTGCCATCCCAAAGGACCACTTTTTAGTGCTCTTCAGTGTTTTATCTGTATTTTTAACAGCACCTACACGAAGTGTGACCATGTATGGCCTATATTTACATTGAAGTCTGTGTACAAATAGTTAAGAAATGATAGACAGTGTGTTCTGTTCTTCAGGTCTGTAACATGTCTTATAGCTAGATATAAGAACCTCACCTGGAGATAGTGCAGATTATTATGAAGTCCAATAGCTTACTTAGAGTTATGGCTTATAATGATTGATTTAGCCATTTATTAAAACACCTCTTTAATGATTGATTAAGCCTTTATAAACTATTTGTAACTTTTAAAATGTGACCTGATGTATTGTAGCTCCATTAGCATCTAGGTAATAAAATACACTGTGGATTTGTAATACCTGTTAGGTTGACAGAAATTATATTTTAGGCCTTACATGTGTTGAAGTTTTAAGTACCTTGTTAGAGATTGTTCTTGGTGCGTTCTAAGGCACAGAAGTCCAATCTGCTCCCTTGAAGCGAGGTGCAGGGCTGATCTGGCAGGGGTGTGTTTACTGTGTGGCTCCCCTGCCTGCTGGGACAGACCCTGTTTGCATTGGCATTACTGGTCTGTGTAACCTGTCATCACCTGGTACCGACACCAAGCACCCAAGGAAAATGATCTCTCCTTGCTCCCGATGAGGAACGATTCTGTCTTGTGCTGGCCTGAGAACAGAGCCCAGATCTGGGAACCAGCAAGCGATGTTCTGCCCCGTGCCTGTGGATGCTGTCCTTGGGCGCAGCTTTGACAGAGCTTTTCCCTGATACAGAGCAGAGCCCCGGTAATGCTGGTGACTATTAAAACGGATCCCAGCTGACTTGGCTTCCTGCTAGAGCAGGTGGGGTCCTGCACTTTCCTCTACAGCCCTGCATAGTCTGTGCTGAGAGAGCTAAAAATTGTAAAGGGAAAAGGATGGTTTGCTTGGAGGCACATGATGCCAAATTTGAATCTAGTTGGAGAGGCTGGAGTGGAGGTGGGGAGAGGGGGAAGGCTGCCCAGAAAGGGATGCAGCTAAGCACTCTGTGTCTAGAAATCTGTTGTCTTCCTGGGTATTACTCTTATGTAGCCAAGTACCAAAATCTAAAGATAAATTCTGCATACAAAATTATAGGGGTCTCTTTTTTTAAATCTGCTTTCTTTGTCTGTGTATAGAAGCATTTTTTCCATGAACTGCCCAACTTTCCATTTGGTCGAGCTGTACAGAGCTGGCTGCTGGGATGAGCTGTGTAATGGGATATCTGAATCGCAGCAGGAAACCTGCTCCAGTTTAAGCAGACCTTATTTAAAAGCAAATTCAGTCAGACCAGTGCAAATTCCTGGACAGAGAAATTAAAACTGCTTCATGTCTGATTTGATGTCAGTTTTGTTCAGGTCAGTAACTACTGCTGAGGGATTGTTCAAGTGAAGCCTCTCAGGTGCAGGTTGAGCAGCGTACATCCCTGATGCTCTGCCTTTCTCAGCTGGGCTCTAGGAGTAGGTGAAGTTTGGCAAGGAAGGGCTGTTGGTTTACTGTGGTAACTTTTAGTCTGTCCCTGCTCCTGCCTAGCAAGTGACT